GACATGTACATCATCCATCAGTAAAATATAGAAAAGTATAACAAAAAAAACAACAAAATATCTGTTCTCTCCTATAGAATTATGTCTATTAAAAAATCTACTATTTTTTAAAAATTGTTGTGGTTGTTCAAGAGAAAAGAATATTCGAAAATCCATATCACCTGTAATTTAAGCTAGAGCAACCTATTTTATATATCAAAAAAATTATTATAATCATTAATTTTCTTTATCTACTTTAGCAAGAATATAAGAACTTGCACTATGTTTAATAGAATCGAGACATGATCGAAATCTAGAAAGTAATTCAGCTAATATACATAATTGAATATTTTAAAAAAAAACAAATAAAACATTGATTATGAAAAAAGAGGACGCTGCTTTTCTAACATAATTTTGAACTGTCTCTGGTAATCTTTTATTCGTTTCGCATAACAGTATGGTGGCTTTGAAAAAATAAATTAAACATAGAAATAGGACTAAAACTGTTGAATCTATAGGGAGAAATCTTCATTCTGAAAATTTCTGATTCTAATATATATGTTATATATCGTTTTGTTTCAACACTTTAATAGTGAAATTGTCGTATCTATTAGATAACTTTCACTAAAGCTTTGAGATCTTAACTATTTAAAGCGACCAATATTACACCATTGGAAACAATTTTCAATTATAAAATAAATCTATTTTACTGAACGAAAACTTTAGAAAAAACATTCCAACAAGAATTAAAAATAATTTCAACAGGATCATCAAATTGTTGATAAATGCAATAGAAATGTTAATGTAGGGCATTTTATACTAATACGTGATTCATCATTACTTTTTATCATACCATCTATATTAAGTGTATATCTAATAGAGATAAAAAATTTATAAATAATTCGTCTGTTTTTATATTAGATAGTTTGAAATAAGTTGTTCAACAAGTTTAGCAGCTGATGTTCGTTTTTCATTAATGATTATTAATGTTGAATCTAATTCATCATTTTTTTTATTTACTAGGATATCTGGTTGTTCATTATGAGTTTAAATTAATAATTGATCAAAATAATATAAATTTGTATATTTAAGTATGATTTCAAATGTCTCCAATAAGTTTGATAGAACATAATTATCATTATGTTGTAAGCAAATGTGACATACCATATCAAAACACTAAGAAAACTTCACGTTGAAAATAAAATCATTCGTTATATGTTGAACACTAATTGAAAGATGTTGTTCATATTTATCTATATATTTACTTCTATTTATTAATTGTTAACTATTGCTTGATGATTGAAACTCTCTTCAACACTTAAATCAACTTATTGAAAAAGATATTTTATTCAAACTGTACAATTACTTTGATTATGATGTTCAAGTAATTGATCTATTCAAATAAAAGACAATGATAATAAATTGAAATTTTTATTTGAATAGAAGTTTACCAATTGTATTCGCCACTAGAAAATCTGCTATAACTATGAGATAACGAGTCATAGTAAACGGACAAGTAGTTGATAAATGACGAATAAGTGTCGATTGATATAACATATTTGCCAAATAGGTCATGAGAAGTGTCGAAGAATATTTTAGTACCTAATCAGATACTTCAAAAGAAAATTATTTATTATTAATATTAGGAAAAAAGCAAAAAACTTGTTTTTCTTCGACTTCATACGTCAACTATAACGATAGCCAGTGAATAACTATGGCTAATTTTTTTAATGTCCCATTGAAATTTAATAGTAAAGGAATTTTTTTTATTCTTAATCATTTATTTGATTATATGCTAATATATAAATAGCTAATAGTATTTCAATTAATGTTAAGACTATTCCATTATGTTTTGATTTTACATTCGGATCTGATATTGATTTATATATAATAAAAGTTAGAGCATTAACAGGTATATATTCTAATAGATGTTCTACTGCTCTTTTATCAAGTTCACTTGATATAGCAATTGAATTCCATCATAATAATATAAAAATTGTATCAGTGAGAAATATATATGAATTTACAGATCATTTTTCAAATGTTTGATTGCATATTCGAATAGTTTGTGTTACTCAATATAGTGCATAAGATTTAAATATTGTATGTGTAAGAAGGTGCGTTAAAAATAATCGTATATTGAATCAAACTATTAAAATACTATATTTTTTATAGAAACATATGATGAAAGATGGCATATCTATTTGTGAATTAGTATTTGATGATATGACATCATTTGTTTCTATATGTTTTAGTGAATAAATCATAGCTATCATACATAGATGTTAAATAAGTTCATCTGCTTCGATTTGTAGAAAGTTTTTGCCTAATTCACCCACTGTATCTTCTATTATTATTGGTCTTTGATCACAGTCGTCATTTAAAGATATTTCTAAAAGTGTATCTTGACGAGAATTTTAGGGAGTCGGAGTTGGGTACTCTCCACCCCACATTAGGTATCACGCTTTCTTAATGAAACTCCCTTCTTGGCACCCACACTATTGCGATGTATGCGCAAGAGATGCGGCGTTTGTATGCCTGTTGCAAACCGTGATAAATATTATAATTCAGCGTTTTTCCGCTTAACTGTGCAAGAGTAACAAGTGTTCATTTGTTTCAAGGCGGCATCTCTTCGTGTGCAATCGAATTTTTTTAATTTGTGCAAAGGACTTCGAGTTTTTTTGCAAAGTACTCAATGACCTTTCGTTATTTTGAGGTTTAGGAAGTTCTGATTGGTTTCATTGGATAGAGCTTGAAAAACGAGGAGGTTCGTCTCTCCAAGAGTTTTTGGTAGCCGCTTTCTTTTCGGAGTTATTTGCATTTTTCTGCCGGTTTTTGGGGTTCTTGTCATGTGCTAGTAGATGAGATGCGAAAAAATCTTTAGATGGTATGTGTCCTCTGTTTTCGGATGTTTTGAGACTGGTTCTTGAATGTGATGATCAAAAACTTTTTTATATGTAAGATTTTTACCCGGCCACGTGACAGCTGTTTTCTAGAGAAGATATGTTTTTGCCCAGTTTGGGTTGATCGGCGATGTTTGAGGTTTAGTGACCGTGGGTGGATACCAACGAGAAGGAGGTTGGCTACGGTTTTTGGTCGGATTTTTCAAGTTTTAGTCGTATAGTGCTGATGTAGATGTATTTTGTTGGCTTTGTGGTATTTGCTTTGGCATGACTTTCGTTTGTGACGTCGGCTTCACTGCCTTTGTATCTGGATGAGTTTGTCGGATTCTTCCTTTAGCATCTAGGGTGCTGGTTGATAATCGCATGTGTGGGACGTTTTGATTGTTTTGTCTTTTTAGCAACTTGTTGATGGATGTTGGAAGTAGTATTATGATGAGTGTCATAATTTTCTTCTGCTTTTTTTCGAACTGTATGATAAGAAAGTGTAAGAGTAAGGCGAGTAGTAGGAGTGCATGTTCTGAATGCATCTGTGGAATTTCAAAAGTTATCACAGTCAATGGTGTAAATAGCATGGGTAGAAAGCGTTCATTGAACGAATTGTAGAAGTAAAGCCTTTAAGGACTTGTGGGTTATCTATTCAAGTCTCGCATAAGTCTTGAAATAGGCGATGTATATGTAGAAAAATGAGTTTCTCGCCATGTAATGGTTGGCTGCAGAGAAATGAGCTACAATCTGTGCAAGATGAATTCACTTTTTTGCTGTCATGTCTTTAGAGATAAGAGTGCAATGTAATTGGGAGTTTTATATTTAGTTTTGCCTAATGGCACTGCTGTTACGTCATAGGGAACGAATCTCGATAAAGACAAGATTCTACATTAGTTTATGAGTAAGCTGAATGGATCGAAGTTAGTTGAAAAGGTATCACTAACAAAACTATTTACTATTGCCGTTCAGTATCGGACATAGTGAAGAATGATATGCAGTTTTTTGCCAGCAAATGAAGCATTATGTTCAGAATAATATTTCTTTTTTGTTGTCCGTCTAATATCTTCACGCATCGCTACTTTCGGCAAACAACCAATATCAGTGTTTCCATATTTCGATAAATGATACGAGATGCGTCGATTAAACTAACTCTGCATTTTTCTGCACTAATCATTTCATTTTTAGCACATCATCAATATTTGAGAATTACTTCGGCTAGGCCAATAGCTGAAAATCAAGAGATGAGCGCTGCAGTTTGATTTATATGACAAAGAAATAGGTCAATCTGCTTTTCCTTTGTATTCAATTGCATTTGGATCACGTTGCTCACATGGTTTCTTCTACTTTTAGGTTGCGAATGGTGTCTAGACCTCTTCATTTGGTACTAGGTTTCGGAATTCATGATACTTATGGATAACGGTTTCTGTTCTCTTTTTTTCGGATCGGAGCTAGTTTCGTCTTTTCTGTTCACATCTTCAATCTGTCAGTATGGGTTTCATCATTTGAGACTTTTCAAATGCCTGTTGAAATGTTCTTGTATGTCTCCAAGAATACTATTTTATTATTCTGAGCATTCAGTACGAAATCGCTGCATTCAATAGTGTTTGTTTCTATGATATTGTGGATTATTTGTGCTTCTGTAAGGCTTTTCGTTGAATGCATCAATGGATTTACACAGTGCCTCTTTGTGGCTCCCAATATATCAGCGAGGATCGTTGCTACTTTATTGGACATCAGATCCGATTGTTACATTGTATGGTAATGTCAGTTGATTCTCCTTTTACCAAATTGACGCAAGACATATTCGAAGTACCATTTGTTGCTGATTACTGTCACCTTTTTACGTACGAGTGTGCTTATAACGATTAATTTTTTGTAATTTAAGCATTTTGATGAGGAAATTATAGTCTCCTGTTGTGATTAGGATGTATAGAAAACCTCTCTCGTCTCGAATATACTGAAGAACTAAAAATATAGAGACAAGAAGTGCTGTCGCTTCGTCAAAGTAGCTGCATTATTCATTTATAAATGTTTCTCTAACCAATGTTATTAATTCTTTCATTTCTTTTGAAATACTCATTGTTTATTTACTCATTTGAAAGCTAAATGTTAAGCAAATAACATCTGCTACAAGCATATCAAGTTAACAAATTTATTTTTAATTCTTAGCCTGCTAAACAGAATTTATTTTCATGTATGAAAGAAGGACAAATACGAAATGATGTTTCGATTTAAATGACTCTTAGATAATAATTGATGTCTACTTGTATACACTCTATCACGTTTCTAACCTACATTGCTGAATTCAAGCATAGCTTCTGGTTGCACACTTGGTATTAGCTACTAATCGTCCTAAGTAAGCAATTTAGTATGTTGTTGCTCAAGTAGAGTCGTCTCTCATCGAAACAAAAATAGGTATGAAGAGTATGTGCTACTTTATGTTGTTGGCTTTCTCTCTTTTTCTGATCTAACAACAAGCTATTATTAATGCATGTCACTATCACATATAAGCAAAAGGCCTGAAAAATTGAAATGAACATCATATCTCATTATCATAGTTTTTGCTTTCATTTATATCAACACCAAATGTTTTTTTTAAAGATTTGGAGGGTGATTGTTACATGAGCGGCTCATAAAAAACAATATTTTACATATGAAATCCTGCTTGTACGTATCTTAACTTATTCAGGGCTTCACAATACATGTTGTCATTCTATTTATAATAAAAAGAGGCCTGTTAAAAAGTAAAATTTCAGAAATAGTTGTTAAAAGTTCATCTTGAAATTGCAAATATGAGACGTGACCGTTATTTTGTTGTCGTTTCTCCTAGGTTGTTGTCGTCTCTCACGCCTTCGGGTATATAAAGATCTGTTTTACGTGTGATGAATTCATTTCGTCGATCAACACAACAGTAGCAACATCGATTCTTCTACTATAGTGTCTACTGAATACAATAAGTGCAATCATTTTCGAAACGCACGGGGTACTTAGGTTCCAGAATTTTTATTTAATTCTTTGTGATCAATAGTAAAGATGTTTGTCTCGATGTGCTATGAGGATAGTACTACTAGATTGGTAGACGTATCTTAAGCGATTGCGATGGCCAACGGCCATTTTAGTACTATATGATGACTTCTCTTTGGGTCAATTCTTTTCAGTGAATTAAGTTCCTTGTTAAAAGACATTTATTCTCATTTTCCTGTAGATTCAGATAGTTTTGCGTAAGGACACTGCGACTGTCTGAAGTTGCTGTCCCATTGGTCGGAGCGGAATCAATGAATGACTTGATTGTCTCCGTTTGTGTTGCAGTGCATGAAATAATTTGTTAAAAAAACAGCGATTTAAGGTCAAATTAAGTTTTCTTACTTAGGTTTTCATTTTGGAATTGTCGTTGATTTATAATTTTTTTCTTGCTCCTGTAAATGTTTGGAAGAGCTTTTTGTTTGACACTATTATTCTTTTCATTTTTATATAATGTGGTTTGGTGAAAAAATTCTTTACTCTTTCTTCGATCTATGTGCCCAAGGGAAGACTGACAAACTCCATTTCAATTCAAGAATATATCAGTTCCTTTACTGAGAATTTTTCTTCGATTTCCACGTTTCTCAGTACTCTTATATGATGCACCTCTGGCAGGTAGACTTGCTTGATATGTTTTCATCTCCTGGT